TGCCATGAGGTAGATATTGGCTTCTTTGTCTTCTTCTGACGATGTTGTGTCAGGATCCTCCCAGGTGGCCATCATGGCTTTCTTCTTTTTGAAGGGGACAAACTTCTTCTTCTCTTTTTCCTTTTCCTTTTCCAGTTCCGGACATTCCATTTTGTAATGTCCAAGTTTCTTGCATTCATAGCATAATGGTTGTGCCTTTTCTCTTGAGGGTCTGTTGTATTTTCTCCATCGTATTCCTCCCTTTTTCTTCATCATTGAATGAATCTTTCTTGACAGGAAAGATATTTCATCGTCTGTGTCACAGGTTTCCTCACAGTAGCTATCATCAAACGTATCATTAATCTTTAGTGCTTTTGAGGAGGATGGTGTTGATTTTTTCTTTTACATGTTTAACACAATAGACTTCTATTTTCTCCCAGCATCATCTTGTTGTAACTCCAGCTCATGAACTTTAAGGAGTCCAATGAGTTCCTCCAGAGAGAGCTTTTCCAGATTTTTGGATGCTCTCAGAGTAGTGACTTGTGGTCTCCATTTCCTGGGTAAACTACGAAGTAATTTGTCAATGTGGTCAAAGTTATCATGAGTTCTACCTAGGAAGGAAAGTTTATTTAAGATGGTTTGGAATCTTCCAAACATAGTTTGTCTAGATTCATTTTCTTCCATCTCAAAAAGTTCATACTTACGTGCCAACAAGCTTAGCTTGTTGCGTTTTACCTCTAGGGACCCCTCGTAGGTTAGAGCTAGGGTGTCCCACATTTGTTTGGCACTTTTGAAGCTGTGAACTTTAGTGTATTCCTCTTCAGATAGAGCACACATGAGTGCATTGCGTGCTTTGTGTCGCAACCCAAATTTTTCCGATCTCGCGACATATGATTTCAAGTCTCCTTCACAAGGGTGAATTTCTTCCTCGGACTCTAAGTTCTCTTCTTCATCACTTGAAGAGGAAGAAGTAGCTTCATCAAGGCTACTATAGAGGTCTTGGCCCTTTAAAATCATGTTTTTCTTTGTTGGGCATTGAGAGGCAATGTGCCCTCGACCAAGGCACTTAAAGCACTTGATGTCACTTGTCTTAGTGTCTTTGGAAGATGTCTTTTGAGAGGTTTCTTTTTCTTTTTCTTTAGAAAAAGGGTTGGAAGAGGGGCCCTCCTTCTTGAAACTCTTGGAATAAGATGGAGTGTAGTCTTTTCTAAAGGTTTTTCTTTTGAGTTGGTGCTCCACTCTAGAACGACGGATTTGCGAGGAGATGAAGGTTGGTCGCAAAATGATTCTATTTAGTAAGGGAATTTAGCGAGGGATATAAATCCAAGCTATTTCCTCACTAATTAGCGAGGGATTAGAGAGGAACTGTATTCCTCGCCAGTCCCTCGCTAATTAGCGAGGAAATAGCTTGGATTTATATCCCTCGCTAAATTCCCTCGCTAATCCGCGAAATTCTTGTAGTGTATGGAATCCATTTGGTGAAGTTCCCATTGTTTAGAAGTTGCAACAACCAACAGTAACCATTTTTGCAATGAGAGCAAAGGTTTCGTGATAATCCAATCCTTCAACTTTTTTATTTCCCAAAATAACGAGTCGAGCTTTGAACCTCTCAATGGAACCATCAAAGTGATATTTGATCCGATACACCCATTTGCAACCAATATCCTTTTGTCCAGGAGGAAGAGACACAATAGACCAAGTACCTTTGTTCTCAAGAGCTTGTATTTCATGTTTCATTGCAAGCTGCCACCTTTCATCCTTAACAACTTGAGAAAATGTTTGTGGTTATGTGCCTGTAGTTATAACTGCTAAAAAAATGTCTATGGGCTAGGGAAAAGTTAGTGAAATTGACATAATGAGCTATTGGATAAGGCGTATCTGAGGAGCATGACGGGGTAGATGAACGTGGTGAAGGGCTAACCTTATAAATTTTATTAGTCACATAGTCGTGTAGCCTGGTGGAAGGAATTTTGGTTTGATGACCACGACCTAAAGCTTCGATATCATCATCAACTGAAGATCCCCCCTGTCGTCAATATTACTACTTTCTGTGATGATGAGTGGAGCGTCCAAAGATGAAGAACTTTGAGAGGAAACAATTGGTAAGGTAGCATCGGGTAAGGAAGTGGGTGTCATTTCAGTACTAGCTGGTGGGCCAAGAGGTTGGTCATCATCTATAAGCATTTTGGTAGACGACAAAGAGGAAGGAGCTGCAACTAAAGTAGTAGATGAGTTAGTAGAGAAGCTGGATGCAAAAGGGAATTGTATTAGTCACATAGTCGTGTAGCTTGGTGGAAGGAATTTTGGTTTGATGACCACGACCTAAAGCTTCGATATCATCATCAACTGAAGATCCCCCTTGTAGTCAATATTACTACTTTCTGTGATGATGAGTGGAGCGTCCAAAGATGGAGAACTTTGAGAGGAAACAGTTGGTAAGGTAGCATTGGGTGAGGAAGTGGGTGTCATTTCAGTACTAGCTGGTGGGCCAAGAGGCTGGTCATCATCTATAAGCATTTTGGTAAACGACAAAGAGGAAGGAGCTGCAACTAAAGTAGTAGATGAGTCAGTAGAGAAGCTGGATGAAAAAGGGATTTGTTCTTCACAAAAGACAACATCTTTTGAAATGAAGAAAGTGCCTAGCTCTAGATCATGTAATCTCCATCCTTTCTTACCATAAGGATATGCCACAAGCACACATCTTCGACTTCGACTAGCAAATTTGTCTCCCTTATGGTTTTGATTATGAGCATAGCACAAGCAACCAAGGACACAAAGATGATTAAGAGAGAGAGGCGTACCATATAAAAATCCATAAGGTGTCTTGGCATGTAATACAACTATTGAAGTGCGATTGATTAAATAAGATGCTGTCAAAACACAGTCACCCCAAAATTCAAGGGGAAAGTTGGCTTGAAAATGCAAAGCACGTACCACATTGAGGGTATATCTATGCTTGCGCTCTACTCGCCCATTCTGTTGTGGAGTGCCTATACAAGAGGTTTCGTGCATAATGCCACGATCAAGAAAGTAATTTCTTATAGAAGTGAATTCAATCCCATTATCACTACGAACTATTGTCACTTGTTTAGCAAATTGACGTTCCACCATTGTTATGAATTGGCTCAGATAATGAAAAACTTCCTTCTTGTTAACAAGTAAATAAATCCAAACTACTCGGGAAAAATCATCAACTATAGTTAGAAAATATCTAGCACCACAGAAAATTGGAGTTCTATAAGGACCACACAGATCACAATGAATTAATTGAAAAATATCCATTGATTTATTTTCACTAATAGAAAAGCTTTCCCTTGATTTTTTTTCCCTTAAGAAAATGTCACAAAATTGATTACATGATTCTTTGTTTTGAACAAATCCAGTAACTAAAAGCATGTTTATAGCTTTGGTGGAGGCATGGCCTAGTCGTTTATGCCACAAATCATAAGAAGTTTCGCTTTTGGCTTTCATGGCTGCTGTAGTGACTATTCTTCTAAGGTAATGCAACCCTTCTATTTGTTCACCCACTCCAATCAACATCCTCAAGGTATGGTCTTAGATAACACAAGTCGTGTCAATAAAATGCACTACACAATCAGATTCATGAAGTAATTGTGACACTAAAATAAGGTAGCAATGTAAGCTTGGCACAAAAAGAACATTAGTCAATTTCAGTTTGTTATTGAGTATCACAGTCCCTTCCTTGGTAGTTGTTGTATGTTCACCTTTAGGAAGTCCCACAGGACAATCCACAAGAGTTTTCACATCAGTTAGGTACTCCAAGTGTCCAGTCATATGGTGGGAGGCACCCGTGTCAATAATCGAGGATGAAGTAAGGTTCTTACCACTTAATTTTTCAGTAGTGCCTAGTTTGACATTGTTCAAAAGATTAACCGGTGTTTGCCATTGCTCACCAGTGAGTCAGTTACCATTAGTGATAGAATTTTTTGAATTGCTAGCAGGACCCCCTACAACAGGTGCAATGACTTGGGCTGTATTGGCTTTAATGAGTCCATGTCCTTTGCCAACTGATCCGGTATTGTGTAGTCCAGATTTTCCACGCCCACTTCCTTTACCTATTCCTCGTGGACGATCACCCCACCAGTCAGGATAGCCAAGAATCTGAAAACAACTATTTGAATCATTTCCAGAATGATGACAGTGACCACATATCGTGTTCTTATCCTTTCCTTTACCTTTGTCACGAGTACGAGTTCTTGCATTAAAGTGGAGTAAATCTTGTTTAAATTAGGCAATGGGTCCTGTGCAAGAAGATTAGATCAAACTGTGCCATAGGTAGTGTCATCGAGACCCATGAGAAATTGATGTATTTTCTCTTCTTCATGCTTTTGTTCCAGCACTACATGAAAATTACAAGTGTAGAGGCCACATGAACAAGTTGGTATTTGATCAAAGTTTCCCAATTCCTCCCATAGTTTCTTCAGTTTGCCAGAATATGCAACAATGGTCATGCCTTTTTATTTGCACTCAACAAGCTCAGCCTTAAGTTGTTGAATGTGTGGTCCATTGGCAACTGAAAAACGCTCCTTGATGTCGTTCCAAAGATCTTGTGCCACCTCCATATGCAAGATGGTAGATCACAAGGAAGTTTCAATGGTGTTCATGATCCAAGAGACCAGAAGCGAGTTGTTGGTCCACCAGTCTTCAATATCAGGAGAATTTTCTATCGATTTCTAGATAGTGCCGTCAAAAAAGCCAAACTTCTTCCTTGCTCGTAGAGCAGTCCAAATTGATTGGGCCCATTCATCATAGTTTTCACCTTTCAACTGCACTTGAGTGATCAAGCTTCCAAGATTGTCATTGGCGGTAATGCCATAAGGAGAGATCATTTTCCTTATAATTGTTCCTTCTACTTCTTCCATGAGAAAAAATCATAGTGTTAATGTTTTATCTAACACGGATCACTACTGCTTATACCATGTCAGGAATGATATTCAATTGGAATATCTTGTCACTTTCATTGGATATATAATAGATATATATACACGTGCAGGCAGCACCATTAGCATGTTGTTTCCAGATAATGTCGTGGCATTATCTTATGACAACTATAATATCTACAATTTACACCTAAATATATGCAAATATATGACTAATTACATGGCTTGCGCATAATCAAATAATATCTCAATATAATAGACTAAATATCAGTGTGCGCATAATCAAATAATATCCCAATATAATATGCTAAATATCAGCTTAACATATATTGTTGAGAGATTGAAATTTGGGAACAACAATGAATAGCTTTATATTTAAAGTGTTTTTTCTTCTTCTTATGATGAAGTATGCCTAATTTTTCATTTGTATACATGTATTTAAGTTAAAGTTAACCAATGAGGAAAATGAGGTGGATAAAGAGATAAGAAGAATAATTATGAGACCCGAATGAAAAATAATCTAGACAATTAGTTTTTAAGATTTTTTTTATAGTGAAGATGATTAATTATTAATATGTTACTAGTTCTTATGAATAAGATGAAACTTAATCTAAATCCGGTATGGATAAAAAAATATATGTTAATATCTATGTGATATGGTAGTATCAATGAATTGTTAATGATTTTGAATAATTTTACTTGACTATAATATCAAATGTGCGTGGTGTTTTTTATATTAGAAATTTTATATATCATGGTATGTTAGAAAGTTCCATAAATTATGATAATTGTTAATTTTTTATTATATTATAAAATAAAATGATGATTAATTGAATATTGGATTCATAAGACAAAATCTATTAATGTTGCGTCATTATATTTTGATGTAAAAAAATTACTTTGAGATCAACTAATAATAATTGTTGAATCAGAGTTATTTCTTTGAAGATGGTTGATTATGAGATTGAGTGATTGAAAATCTATTATTAACTAATATTTCATTGAGAATATAAAATTAAGAAAAGATGTGATATGACAATTGCTTAAAATGATTGAAAATCATTATATGTTGACTGCAATAACTTGATCATTGTATTTTTAATTAATTTTAAATTATCTAATGTTTTAAAATAATTTTTTTTTAATTTGTTATTAATTATAACTACAACAGTTGGTATCTCTTTTCTACAAATATCGAGAACTCATAAGATTAAGTGTTAGATGTATCAAACATTACTCTCTTTTCCTTCTTCCTCTATATACTTTTTTTTTTCTTAATTAAGAGTTTTATAACCTCAATCTAATATTAGGAAAATCATATTATATCTTGAAGAATTACATTAGAATCTACCATATAAGTACTTTAAGACATTGTATCCCTTAAGAGTTTAAATAAATTCATATTTTTAACTTCTATAAACAACACCATATGAGTGTATAACATTATATATTTTTGTAGTTAATGGGCCACGGATTATTTGAAATCGTGGGACAACAAATTTAGTTGTGTTACATGTATTTTATTATCAGCTTTTGATTATGTTTGTCTGGCACATGCATAGGCACTACGTATTTATATATATATATA